AATTAAGAAGCAGAAAGTTAGCGGCCATCCAGGTCTTTATGTCTTTAAGACATTCCTGCAGTTTAACTAATTGGTGTGTGTTATCTGGCTTCATGGACAGGCACAGGGAGACTAACGCTTCCATGAGGAAACTAGAAACCCAGACAGTGTGGTTCATTCATAATCATAAAACACACCAACACTGTTGGTTATATATCATATTTCTACACATATGAACCGTTCATGACCCCTGGAATCATTTATGGATTTCTCTCTTTTGGGGCTTATGGGAGGCGCATCTTGTTGGTGTAGGTAGGACAGGCTGTATTCATGATGTGAACCCTACTCAGTTGGTAATTGTTGATTTCAAAGGGACACTTTAGACCCTACCCACAGTTTTACCAAAAACGTACTCTTGGCTTTTTAAAAAAATATAGGGTTTGGGTTTAGGGCTGGGGTTTCACTGATAATGACTTACACCTCACAGGGTTAAACTGAAAGCTGAAATATTAAATAAACAACAACATTACTTTGTTCAATACACGACTTTACTCATTTACACACATCACAGGAGTTTCAGTGTGTGCTGTGGGGATCTGAGAACAGAGGCATGTGAATTGCCAGCAATCTTCTTTTGATTATATCCAAAGAATGAAGTTCAGTTTTTAGTCAGTGGGATTTTGAATGAAGTTTTCTTGGCGCTCAAACTGGTTCATATCAACTCTGTATAGAGCACCGGTGACTTTGACATCTTATATCATCACTGCACTGTAATCTGCTCTTACTCTGTCACTGTGCTGCCAAAACCATTTAACTGTGTGAGTCTTTCCAGAGGACCCGTCTTATTTTTAGAACATGTTTCAACATTTTAGCTTAATTCAAAGTCATAATAACTGACAATACTAATGCTAAGCATAATACAAAGAAACATAATCTCTGTTTATCCATGTGTTTATATTGCTACAAAAATGACTGCTAGGGTTTATGGTTATGCAGTTATATCACAGCATGTGAGGTATTCTCTTCTATATCGAAGATGGGGCTGTTTCTGTATAGTTCTTACAGGAAATTTGTCTTGAGCTTAGAGTCACTGCCACTCCGAATATTGACTGCCAGATGATGCATTGAAGTGCCAAAGCTCACAAAGTACGGAAGTACACTCAACAAATCATCCGACAAATCAGGAACGTTTAAAAGACTTTTGCAGGCTTCTCGGTCCCTGAGGCTGTGAGAATTAACGCTTAACAGTGAAATGGACAAATGGAAAACTTTTTATCAAACTAAGGAAAGTAAAGCACATGTATGCAAATGCATCATGTAGTAGAAAAATCCTTGCATGGTTTTTTTTGTTTAAATTGCTGTTGTGAGGGCAGTAATTAGTCATTAGTAATGAAAGAAATGACGGTGAATGGTTAACTGGAATGTGCTGTGCCTGCTCTGTCCCTCTGTAGACGTGCAGTACAGTGGAGTGCTGGCAGCTGCAGTGTAATGTGGGGCTGCTGCAGAGAGGACGAAGTGTCATCCTGACTGTACGCTCAAGAGTCTGGGCTGAAACGTTCATGGAGGTGAGACTACAGGACTTTGTGCTCTGCATTACTGCTCTGTAGTGTCAGTCATGTCTTTCAAGTTTGAGAAGAAGAAACTCAACTAAGGAACAGACTAGAGCGGATGAAGGCGAGAACCTGCAGGAGTCTGTGCTCATGCTGCCCTCTGTCGACCGACAAAAACAGACAGTGTGTCTCATCCACATTACATCATTATTCATACCTAACAGTTTTCCTAATGAACTTAATAGGCTTTCTACTGTTAATTGTGACATTTTATAATTAAATTTTGATCCTACTATAACCCACAGTACAGAGTAGATGATGTATGGAACGATAAACTAATATTTAAAGAAATAGTACGAAACTGATTTCGCAGAAATCACAGAGGCTTTTGATTTTCCTTAGATACAAAAAAGTTTCCTCATTAAACTTTTGTTTATCGATCGTCCACAGCGAGCCTATAAGCAGTACACGCTGGAGTGCTCCGTTCACTTCAGCGTGGACAGGATGCCGTATTCTGTTTCTCCCACATTAAAGCCATCAGGATCCAAAAAGGTAACATCGACAGCTTTTTTCTGCGTTTTTACAATTTCACAGGCTCTTTAGATTTTTCATTTACAAATGAAAATCAGTGCACGGCGGATCAGTTCTGCGGTTTCCTGTTGTTCAGGTGGCGACTGCTGTGATGTGGAATAAACCCAACAGTCAGTACTCGGTTCCTGTGTGGATCATCATCCTGGCTGTTCTAGCTGGGTTGCTGTTGCTGGCCTTGCTCATATACTTACTTTACAAGGTAACAAGGTGTTCAAATACCCTACTTTTAGCATGATCACAGAAAAACAGCTCTGGAATAACTTGGTTGTTACACATTGCAGTTATCAAACCAAATCACTTTTATTGTCACATCACATGTGCAGGTACATTGGTACAGCACATGTGAGTGAAATTCTTGTGTGCGAGCTTCACAAGCAACAGAAAACAAAGACCCCAAAAACTGCTTTTTGTTTCTTTAGTCAGTTTGTTTACTTATAACTGCTGAAAGCTGTGAGCTGAACTAAAGCTGTGCTTGCAGGACACGGAAATTGTAAGATTGTCTTTCAGTTGTTACTGCGGGAACAAAAACCCAACAAAACCATTACAGAAGCAAGAAAAACAATGTGTTGTAGAAAAATCAGTATGGCTGTCATTAGATAATGTTTGTGGATTGACCAGATATTGTAAAAGTGACTATTCTTTAAGAGTTGTGTGTTGCATTTTGGGCAAGTTATCAGGGAACAGTGTATTTTTTACACGTAAGTTTTGAAGCTCACACGTTATTATTGTTTTGCATCTAATCTCTTCATCCTTTGCTTTAGATGGGCTTCTTTAAAAGATCAGACCCATACGGTACGACCATGGAAAAGGCTAAACTCAAACCCCAGGCGTCCTCTGAAGCTTAGATCTGAACGGAGCCTCCACCTGCAGCTGTTCCAAAGAACTGGAAGTATTGTCGCATTCCCAAAAAAATAACGGAAATTCCTAATTATAAGCAGGCCACCCATTCATGAAGGGACAGTTATGGGTGCTGTATCACTGGAAGATAAAAATGTCTGGTGCTGCACTAAAACATTACAGGGGTCACGCAGTTGGATATGCACTGCTGTTTGTTGGACATTCCTCTGTGCAGTCAGAGACTTTTCTAGAAGCTCATCCTGTCATATTATACTCCTGCATTGACAATAAAGAAACAAATGGACATCCAACAAAAGGCACCAAAACGTCGGTAGTTCATGAATGCAAAAAATGTGTGATTCAAGCCATGTTTGTAAGCTTGGTGTTGATGATTTTGAAAATTCCTGCTTATGAATGATGCCTAAACCACTTGTTATTTATGGCACAATGATTTCCTATTGATTGTTGAATGTTGTACTGTACTGTCCACAGGAAGAAAAAAATCAAAAAAGCAACGTGCCAAATCTGCAATGTTTAACTTGAATTTTTCTCTCCCATATTGGGAGGTACTTTGTGTATGATGTAATGTATTCATTGTGTTATATTGATGTTGTGGCGCAGAATAAAGCCTAATTTTGTATACCCACACAAGAAGCTATGATCAGCCTTTTACAGCTAGATTGGGCTGCCTGGTAGGGAGCTGGTTAGCACCGTTGTAGGAGCTGCCTGCTCGAGGAAGGAGATTTTGCAGTGGAGTAGGAACACCAGCAACATCACCTCGCTCAACTTCTTCTGCAGGAACCTGCTCACCAAACTAAACCCCTTTCACCCAACTTAATCCCCAAGAGCTCCTTCAGCTATTTTTCTTTTCTTTCTTTCTTTCTTTCTTTTTGCATTTAGGGGCACTGGCACATGGAAAAAAATGCTATATGTAATAGGTCATTCTTCTGACGTCTATTCACCTTTTCTTTAGTTGGACTGAACGTGAAGTCCTCCAACTTAAACTCCATTTTTGACACCACCACACACAAGAAAAAGCTACTCATTTAGAAACATTGATTTATAATTACTCCCTTTATTTTCCATTAAATTATCAAATAATGATTTCTTTTGTATTTTTAGAATAAAAATAATTCAATCCAGCAGTGCATCATAAAACCCTGAAGTGCTGTTTTTATTTGCAGAGTATTTTAGACTTTCTTATAGTTTACACCTGGGACACGGAGGACAAAAACTGTGATGAAATGTATTGATGCTTTCATCAACCAATAAAAGCAAGATGAAAGTTTGGAAGTGATACAATCAAAGTAATATCCTTCTGATCAGGAGTAATATCCTTGTGCAGTAAGTTTAGACCCTCACATTTTCTCATGAAAATGGGACAAAATGTCAACACTTGGGAGGACCAGAAGACATACGGACACATTTCCCATCTGATGTTATTGAAGATAAGACCCTTTGTAAACCAAAGGAGCAACTGCAGTAAAAACACAGCAAAGGTAGGCTTTACATTTTACATTACATTGCATCAAAAGGCGTAAACTACATCAAAATGTGCTGTCAAAATGCTAAGAAGCAAAAATAATTTCTAAAATTATTATTTTTAAATTGCCGAACAAGCTTGCAAGATAAGAATAATTTAACGACTGCTTAAAGTGTGTCACCAGTAATTCCTTGGTGGCTTGTGGGTATGACCGTCCCTTAGTTTGGGTGTATGACTGATTTAAGTTTGTAAATAAATAAAATAAGAAGAAGTTGATATGCTATTACTCTTTTATGATCTATTTAGCCCTACAGCTTTGACAAAATGGGCCATAATGATGGTGCAGGGTGTTCTGGGAATCCATCCTACCTGACAAACCATCCAACCCGTTGTTTCTACGCATGCGCACAACACGAAATTCAGTGGCGAACCATCCTACCTATGTGAATATAAGCTACTAACATACTCTGATGGGTACAATTAAGTGCCAAACCGTCCTACCTTTGTAAATGTGACGTACAAGCATACTTTAACAGCTAAAATTAAGTGGCAAACCGTCATACCTACTTACATTTGTGCTGGAATGACTCTGTGACAGCAGAAATGTGCATAAACTACTTACAATAGGACGTTTTGCCAAAGCAGGACGTTTTGTCAGAACACCGGCTTCATTAATATTGTTTGGTTCGTTTACTTTCGTTTAAATTAAAAACTTACCAGTCATCTAAGTTGTGTTTCCATCATAAGTCACACACTTTTCCTGGGAGTGCTCATCAGACAAACCACAGAGCAAATCTTTGTCTAACATGTGAACAAGTGTTTTACATTAAGGGCATAAGCTCGCTTTTGGTCTTTGGCAGAACTATCATATGATACCACATCTCCCTCTGCAGGTGATATATGTTACTGCCATCCACAACCTTGCTGCCGCTGCAGAGGACTGTGCTACACATTGACAGCATAAAAGATGCGTGAAGTCAAGATTGATAAAATATTTAATATCTACTCAAAACTAAGGCCCAGGCACGAGGGAAGGTCCACTGGACAATATTTTGGACAGATATTTTATGTGTGATGTGTGAGGCCTATGCAGAACAGCAGCACGGACATGTGCTGCATCACCCTGTTATATTGTCCACTTGATGGTGACTGCAGCTGGACTCCACAGTCCCAGTGAGTTCCCAATGGATGTTATGAGTGGACCATTAGTCTTGTACAGTCCCACTCAGGTCAGTCTGCCTGGTGTTACAGCTTAGAGTCCTGGTGTACGGCTCTATCAGCCGGTCTATAAGTCAGCTGTTTGATTGTAATGCATGTTACTGTATGACAAATTCTACTTGGTCCCCTTTCCCATCAGTTTAAGATGTGTTTCCTGGTTTTGAGTTTATTTTCACTGGGTCTGTTCACTTCTGGAATAATTTACCTTCTACAATCTGGTGTCCTTTCATATGTCATAGATCATTTTCTGATTTTAACTAATTCGCAAAGTTTGGTATTTAATTCTTGTTATTTCTTAACTTTCTTGGTTATTGTTTGGCTCTTCTTGTATTTGAATGCTACATAAAACCTCACGATCAACTAAAGTGACCCTATTAGTATATGCAACGTGACTTACTGAATGCTTTTCTCCCACAGCTGCTGTTGAAGTGTTTCCTCTGACATTTGTGCTGAGTCCATGTGTGTTCTGCTGAGTTATGCTGGATGGATGCACCCTGCCTCCAACCAGAGTGTTCTGTGTCTCTCCTCCTC